TGACCTAGTATTCTGCTAAATTAATATACCCATGAGAATCCATGGATCGTTTAACAACTATTTTCTGATTACCTGCTGTATGTCATATGCTTTGGTTGGTAGTGGTGATGTACATTGCCATGTCTGGATCTTTGCAATTCATACTTACTCTACCCTAGTGACTGAAGACCTCATCTTTAACACTCAACAGTCTCAACTGTATTTCTGTGTATATAAAAAATATATTTTCTTTTTGTCATTGGAAGTTGACTCCTGGCTTCTTAGGCTGTATTCTGTGCTATTGACATGTATTATAGACTCTCTAAATGAATTTTGGAAATGTTGAGTTAAATGGCATTCTACAGGTTGGTTTGTTTTATAATATCAGTACTTTGTAGATTTCAATATGGTAAGATATGTGAATTTCTAATTTGAATATAATATATGGGGTTTCCCAAAGTGAGAACCTGGGAAAGCTCACCCCATGGAAGACATTTTGGGTACTGTGGTTTAAAGAAATTTTTTTGTTTTGTTTTGTTTTTATTTTTACCCATTTCTCTCACCTTTTCTGCAAACAGAAGTGATGCCACCAAGAAATGAGAAATACAAACTTCCTGTTCCACTTCCAGAAGGCAAGGTTCTGGATGACATGGAAGGCAAACAATGGGTCCTGGGCAAGATGATTGGCTCTGGAGGATTTGGATTGATATACTTAGGTAAGGTATAGTGCAACTTATCAAATATTCTAATGTGTGTGACTGTAATTATGTAATGATATTTAAAAAATGAAACTGAAAGAATAATAGAATTCATAAATGCACTTTATTAGAATTCATGAGTTACTCTACGAAGCAGTAACATGAAGATAGTTGATCTCAAGTATAATGGTCTAGGTTCATGATGTGACTGACCCACTCCTTGTTGTCCATGTTTTCCTAAATAAGTCTTAGAAGTCTTTTCTGAGTATAATTATACAATCTGCCAGACAAAATGCTATTTATTTTTTTTTTTTTTGAGAGCTTGGAAACACGCTTTACAGTTCAGAAACCGCAACTGGGCTCCACAGGAGAATTAGTAGATAACTTAAGGAATCTATTGCATAGAACGAATTAACTTCTCTTTGGTGCATCAAGAGTGGTACTGGTTATATACCATCCTTGGGATAAATGAAAAGACAGGCACATGAATTATTTTCTCTATTCTGTGGTACAGGTAAGGAACCTTGGTTGGCTAAGCTTTTACACTGTATTTGCATTTAAAAATTACACTGAATTTAAATAGATCAGTCAGGGCCATCTTAATCTGTGGTGGAATGAGGAGGAGATGTTCATTATAAGCGTGGTTTGGTGAATAGAATAAGATAAATATTATTGATTTTTAAAACATAGCCTCAAAGATTAATTCTCCTGTAATAAGTGTATTGATTCATATTACCTCTGTTTCTATAAGAGTTTAAGAAATTGATAAAAGACCTCCTTCAAAGGAATCTTGGGTTCCTTGTCAAGTATTTCCAAACATGTTTCATGAATTATGAAGGAAAAAGATACTCTTATGGTAAAATTAAGATTGTAATTTTGAATGAATGGATGAAATTTGGTCAATAAGCAACTGCTTAGTAATTACCTTAATGTCTAATCTAGTTGGAAAGACAAGATTAGCACAACAAAATTTTATGGGCTAAAGGGTATTTCCTTATTTGAAGGGTTCGAACTTGCTTGAAAACTGCTAATTCTAAGTGTCAGATTGGGTAGACAGGTAGCACTGTTCAGTAGAAATGTCATGTAAGCCACATACGGAATATAAAAGTTTCTAGAGGCCAGATTAAAATAAATAGGCAAAATTTATTTTTTAATTGTATATGAACTTTATGGACACTCTGTATATATTTAATCCAAAATTAAAATTTTAATAAGTTGTTAACATGAAAAAAATGAAATATTTTACTTTTCTAGTGAGGGTTTTAAAAATCCAGGGTATATCTAATTTTTTTTTTTTTTTTTGCCGGGACTGGGTTTGAACCTTCCACCTCTGGCATATGGGGCCAGCACCCTAATCTTTTGAGCCACAGGCACCACCCAGAGTATATCTGATCTTAAGAGCTGAATAACCACATGTGGCTAATGGCTACCATATGAGGTAGTACAGATAGAGACCAGGTGAATACTTGGAATCCACAGAGAGTAGAATTCCCTGTAGAATCAGGGTCAATTGAAACTTGGAAGCAGGGAATTCTCTTTTGTGGTGAAGAGTTAAGATCTCTAGTATACCATCTTGACTCAAGGTCAGAGATACGGAGTTGAATAAATTATTTCTGATGTGTCTAAGCTATGGTCTTGGATCTGACAGCTTATCACTTACAGTTTTATTTTCCTAATGTTTGAATTATTTGAGTGATCTTGAAATAAGCATTGATGATAATCTTTTTTCTTTTTAAAATGTAAATGTTATATGTTTTATGTACTTAAATTCAAGTGCACGTTTAAGATAAAATTGTATGTCTATGCACATGTATGTAAATATGTCTACAAATACTGCTTGTGTGGTTCCCGTTATGAAAAAGGAATGTATTTTCTCAGGCATGTGACTTAGTTGTTCATATTTAAATATAGAAAAATGTTTGCTTCTTTTGGTCTAAGTACATGTCACTTTTTTTTTTTTTACCTATTTTTCTCATTACCAAAATACTATGTTTTATAACACATTTCAGGGTTTGATGTATTATACAGCACTGCCTACTATCTGAATTTTATTTATATTTTGTTTGTTTATATATTGGGAGACCAAGATCTTCCTCTGTTGCCCTGGCTGGAGGGGCATGGTGTCATCATAACTCACTGCAACTTCAAACTCCTTGGTTCAAGCAGTCATCCTGCCTCAGGCTCCCAAGTAGCTGGGACTTCAGGTGTGCACCACAATGCCTGGCTAATTTTTCTATATTTTGTAAAGATGGAGTCTTGCTATGTTTCAAGCTCCTGACCTTAAGTGCTGGGAGTTCAGCCTCCCATAGTGCTAGGATTGCACGTATGAGTCACCACACCCAGCTCTATCTGATTTTTAGAACTTGCACCCTAGGAAGATTAGGAAGTATACACCATTGGGGAAAGGATTTTAAGGAAAGTTTAGCTATTTTGAGAAAAAAGGTCCCACACTTCAGCATATGTTATAATATATAACTGTGTGTTCTAAATGTTGTCATTGTTTCATGAAAGGTGAAGCTAATGAATCGTAGACTCAGTTAAACTTTATTAAACTTAGTTTTTAATAGTTTGAAAGCTATGTAAATCCATATGAAATTATACCATGTTTTTGCATTTTATCATGATCTGGTCACTTCCTGCGTATAAATGAAGAAGCAGTTAAATTCAAGCTTTCTTTAATACCTTTGTGTCCAGCTACATTCTTTTCAAGTATTATTTCCAAATACTCTGTTTCAGCAGACACTTTGTAAGCATTTACTGCCTAAGGCTGAGAAGAAACTAGCTTCTATGTCCAACTCATTGTGCATGTACAACCGTTCTCTAGCTTTGAGATCAATAGCCAAGGCCTTTCAGTAGTCAGCAATGTACAGTAAAGGGGAAGGGGCAGTGAAGTTTGGTATTTACTCTTGACTTGGAGAAATCATTTCTAGCGTTAATAGAAATAGTTGTAAGAGAAAAGAAAAGTTTGAATGTAAGAACAAAGCCAAGGTTTGTTCTTTCTATATGAAAAGAGAGGGAGTAAAAAAAGAAAGGAAATTGGTTTAGGTGATGGGAAAGATTGTCATTTTACTACTGAGTAAGTGAAAAAGTTTTCACTGACGGTGAGAATTCTCCTTTAATGCTGAGCATAACATAGAACCAAGTAAACTAAGGGAGAATAGCTTAAATAAGAGCAGGGATTTTGGTGTTAGGCAAATCTAAGTTGAATCCTGACCTGACAACGCCACTTACAAACTAGTGACTTTTACCTAGTCACTTAATCCTTTGGGTTTTTTTGTCTCTGTTCTTCATAATTGGGATAATAATTATGAGGATTAAATGAGATAGTTTTTTAAAGAACTTTTCCCAACTTGGAACTTGGGAAACACTTAATAAAGGTAAATTATTTACCTAGAATTTCCCATTCTAAATATGTAGTTCCACAGTGGATGAGGATGGTGGCAAAGACCCTTTGGAAGGATTTATCCTGCCCTGGTCTGTGGTAGAGTTAGTTGCTAAGGTGGTGAAGCTAAGGACAGAGAGAATGCCAACAGAAGATTTCATGACATTTTACTTACTGACCTGTATCTTTTTCTTCCCTTAAAATTTACTGTAATAGCTGTGATGGATGGTGAAAAATTCTCATTTAAACTGTAGCTTATCTGCTTCAGATATGAAAGATATTGGGCTTCAGAAATTATTCAAAATCTGGAAAAACAGAATTATAGTACAAACTTCAGCCACATTCCTTTGAAGGATGATTATACGAGTAAAAATAGATATGATTTATCTGTGGAAGTTTTCGTTTTTTGAAGTTAGGCATGATTATGTCCATTTCGCATCTTTGGGGTGTCAAGCATAGAATAGATGTTCAGCAATTGCACCAGAGAGATTGAGACTGAGGTTGGAGCACTTCATCAGACAAGTCAGTTTGCTTCGTCCTCTTTCATGATTGTAGATGTTACTCTTGGCTCTAGTCTGCAGTCTTTCCGATGAGTACTCTTACTTATTTGACACAATACAACATTATCAAGCCATTTTAATTGTTACTGGGCAATTTTGCAAATGATACTGTGGGGATTAAAATAAGGGGAAAAATGTGAGAATAAGGATAAAACTAGACACTAGAATATATGATAGATTAATTCCCAGACGAAGGTGTAGATAATAGGTAAGAACTCAAAAAGAAGGGATCACTTGTGGTTTTGTAAATGTAATGTACTTGTTGGATCTCTAGACAAGGAAAAGTCCTTAGAGGATGTGTTACTTTTCTATGTTTTAATTTTGCGTTTCTAAACAGATAGTAGTTTACCTGTCAGTTAAGAAATCTAAGTGTTTAAGAAGGTTTGGGTTCTTCTAAGAAAAGAGAGTTCTTCTGAGGCCTAGCCTTTACTTGTCTTTTTATTTTTTAAGTATCCTCTTTTTAACATATTTTATATTATGGTTCTTCATAACATTTTACTGTCAGACGTTTTTGCCTAGAGAAATGGTTTATAAACCACTCCTCTCTCCATGCACTTACATATTTGGTCTCTTCCACTGTACCTCGTACTATCTCGTGACTGTTGACAGCAGTCAAGGGTTTGTTGTTTTTTTTTTCCCTTAAATTTGAAACCTATTGCTATGGGGAAATTTCTTCTTCCTGAAATGAGCTCACCTCTATTGCCACACAATAAAAGAATTCTCAGCTTTTGAGAGCTTCTGGCTTCCTTATGAAATATGGATAGACTTCTGCTTCTGAAGTGTTTTAGGTTTTTTCTTTAGATGAAGAAGAGGAATAAATAGTATGAGGTGTGTTTCTTCTTTTAAGACACAAGAATATCTATATTTACAAAACGAGAAGAAAATTAAGAAACTTTAAAGCTTTAAATGAGAGAGTTCTTTAGAAATTAGCTATTGAGATGATGAATTTTTGTTCATCACCCATGCTTAGAGCTGCTTCTGGGTTTTACACTGCTCAGATACTTGATTTTGCCATAAGTGCTTCTTTTAGACTGTTTGCCTCTTATAGCTCCATTACATGGACTTTTTCCTGAACA